TATTCAGAAAGCATACTACAATGATCCAAATTGGTTAGTAACACGAGAATTTTTACGTTTACGTTTACGTTAGTATAGACATAAATTAATTTGTGTCTGAACGTCATTATCATGAAGCCATTATTATGTTGGACTTGAAGGACGTTGATAGTTTTCTGCGTAAAGCTGGCCCAGGCTACACGTGTATTTTTGTTTAAAATGGCTACATTTCCTAGTTCGAAATCACGGTTTCGTGCGAGTACAAAAAAGTCTTCGTTCGCAACTGGTATCGTACAAAACACAATTATGTTACTTTCGCAACTGGCTACGAACCTCCGGTTTCGTACGCGGCCGAAGGGTAATAATGTTATACTAGCTTACTTCAATGTAGGTAAATTTATTTTTAAAAATATGGATTTGTCAGTGGCGAATAGGGTGTAAGTCAGCATCTCCTCTCTCTCAAATAAAAAGTGGGAGGTGGATAGAGTAGCGGAGAGATTCGGCCGCCCGCACTATTAGGTGACCACGAACGGATCGAGACATGTTGCCGTCGCACCGACCAGATGTTACCCGCCACCGGAGTCCCTCCAGCTAATTGACGGCAGTAACGGAGAACTGACACATACCTTTTTATATTTCACATGTCATTTGTCATTCATTAAATTTGGAAATCCCTGAATAGTGTCAGGTCACAAGTTGGCGGATGTAGAGTTCATATGGTGAAATGGGGATATATCAATCGAACACAAAACCATCGTGCTTACGGATCCCCCACACAAAGTATGTCTCATTTGCTCTCATGTCCACTATGTCCGACCAGCTGCACATGCGAAGACCTGCTAAAAGCGACAGATAGAGGGCGTAGAGGCCAAATAAAGTGGGCCAAATAAATGTAACACAGGTTTTTTATTGGTTTTTGTCATTGACTTGACAAGAAGATTCTTTTAATTTCTATACTCAATGCAAGAATTATGAATTTATCAATTTTGGTAGCAGACATGAAAAAAATCAATATTTCATGTTAATTTTTTAAGTTATATTTAATTACATACGGCTTAGAGTAATTTAGATACATCTTACGTATTATTGGACTTAAATAACATTGTACAAGAGCAAGCCAAGGTGGACACTTAAGATTTAAATTCAACTCTATGATGACGCTTTACGATAATAACGGTCCAAAGTGTCAAGCGTGATATGTTCTTGACTGTACATTCTTATATTACGAAGTTACTGTAGAATAATTATACTAACTTGTATTTTTATTTCTACAGCCTAACGTTGTTTTGACGACTACCGCGGCCCATAGCACTTTGGGAGCTTGATAACTTTACTCATTGTCAAAGAGGAACTGTAGAATGTAAGTAAAACTATGATCCGTATTAAATAAACAGCTTTTAAGTCCAATGTAAAGTGAATAATCGCATCAAGGACGAGCTCTTGTAAATTGTTAGTTTCGATACTCTGGCATAGTATCGGAAATTCCTTAGTTAGTTACCAGGCAATAGGTGGAATTGGTTGTCATTGTCATCAAAAGCGACTCGTCAAACTATTAACACAATTTTAAAACGATGATGCCTATAATTTGGTTTAATTTTTTTTTAATGATCCAAAAATGTATAGAGGCTATAGTTAAATGCGGCTAGAAGGCTTTAGTTGCGCCGAAACTGACAACACGCAAGTATAATGGAGGTCAAATCGATTCATCCGTAGAACAAAGATCTATGTGCAAAACTACTAGTTCTCAGGACATAGTACATTTAGTTCGTTCTTCTTCGCTGTGGACATCATATCGACCATTGTTTGTTTTTATATTTCCGAAACGCAATAAGGTATATAAATTCTCATGTCACCTTTACATGGGTCTTAATTTGAATAACGAAATTATTCTCGTAATGTACAGAGTCCGTTGTGAATTCTCTTTTCGCTATATAATCACAACGGACTCTGTTCTTCGGATGAGTCGAAATGATGTATGATGTGTCGTGATAAGTATGTAATACTTATCACGATATGACTTTTTATTCTTCTGCCTCTGTGAAACCGCTGTGAGATCGGGAAGAGACTACCCACAAAGTTATACTGTGGTAAGAAACTGGTAACAATTGTTTGGTGAAAAAAGTCGTCAAGTATAATTGTACTTAGGAGGTTGGTGTTTCGCATAGTGAAACATTTGTACAAGGTCAAGAGCACGTCAAGCAAACTTCCAAAGTGTCAAGGTTGATGCGTTCTTGCCTGTACATCTGTGTTCTTATCTGTATATCTTTGTTATGTTTTCGTTCATTTTTAAAGCAAGTTACAAAAACTATCTAAATAAATCACTTCTGCATTATTACACAAACTGTCTCCATGGCCATCGTGATTATCATTCTGGACTGCCACGCAGAGGTCCCGGGTTTGATTCCCGGGCCGGTAGAAATTTTGTACATTAATTTCTCTCGTGAGTTTGGGGTAATTTGTGGTTGTCTATGCGTGTGTCCATGGGATATAGGGCTTCACTAGTGCGGTGCTCTGAGCGTGTGTGTTATAATTTGCAATGCTGTTAGGAATATTAGGATTGTGTGTTCCTGATAAGTACGTGCACTCCACGTCCACGACGTCGCCGGCCGCCGCTGTTACTGGTGGGAGGACCAATCTATTGGCTGAGTGTCCGCTGACGCACGCGTTGAGGACACTGAATAAAATAGCAAATACAATCGACCTATTCCACTGTTCTCTGAGTGAATTCACGAAGATAGCGCTTTACATATTATGTTATAGTTAGATATAGGTAGTTATAGTTATTGCTGGTCTATTGTATTGGGTATAACCTGTAAAAATAGATTAAGTGTGAAAATAAATAAATAAATAAAAAATAAAAAATATTATTATTAAAATACCAAAATTCGGAAAACTATTGATTCTGACGAAATATATTTAAAAAATAACACAGGCACCATAAAAGCCATTTGCCTGGTGCCAAAATGTAAAATCGCGGGTGCTGGTATAAGTAGGGGTGTCCATTGTCAAGGGTTACAAGCTTCCATTTCGGCATATTTCACATAATAGCATTAGTTATTTAATAAGTAATGTAAATTCGTCTAAGCGCGTGAAGCGTAGAAATCATATACCATGTGATGGCAGAATAAGCACCAGTCGAGTCAGAAAGGAGCCAGTTCTTTGTGTAGTTCTGTTGAGGTTTATAACAGTGCATTTTTCTGACCCATATCAGGCGAACTTACAACACTTATACGCAACACTACCCGATTTCAAGGGCCCTGTGTCAAGGGTGTGCGTGGCCCCTAGTAGCACTAAACAGAGACCTTAACTCCCTAACCTTTATTACAACTTAGGGTCCCTTGAAATTGAGTAGTGTACAAAGCGTTTGAAGCAAGCGAAATTTATATGATTGTCTAAATGTACATACATGTATATATAGGTTATAATAACGGTTTAACATATAAAATATACAGAAAACATTAACAATATGCTGTTTGATAAGAAAAGCGATATGCTATGAAATATATTCTATATACTATGCTATAGCGCTATTATTTTTTTTACAATGGCTGAGTGAAGAAATATATTTCTCACAGATGGCGCTACGCAAAAAATATAGAGTAGAATAAGCTTTATTGCACACAAAATAAAAAACAGTGACAATACAAAATATAAAACATAATTTAAGGTATAGTCGGTACTTCTTATATTTGTGGACCTCAGCTGAGATTTTTGAGCTGAGCACTCCTAAATTCTTAACACAGTCACTGACGGGCAAGTTCACACCATCAAACGTAATTGGTGGCACAAGAGACCATTGTATTTTTGAAGTCCGACTAGTGCTGTCAACTACAATGACCTGTGTCTTTCAAGGGTTAACCCTTAATCCATATGACAAAAGTCGTTAATATGAAAAAAATCGAAAACTAAGGTTTACAACAAGCACATAGAAAAAATTCGTAAGATCTGCGAGTTCGTTCCGTGGCTTAATTAGCAGACCCTCTAGCACGGTTAGCTAGACTGGAAGGCGCTAGTTCTGTGACAAAATAATTGGTACTACCCAATTATTAAGTCAGAATCTTAAAAATGCCACTTTTCGTCATTTTATTATTGAAGATGCGGTAATACTGCAACTGTAAATGCTAATATAAATTTCTTCAATACTAGATATTTACAAGGTACTTAAAGAAAAATATAATACTAGACAAAACTTATTACAAAATTTTAAACACTAGAAAGTTTATAAGTACAAAATTTCCTCGAAGGCCACAACCTCGCTGGTATGATCACATATACTTTTATTGTACCATGGATCAATAACTCAAGAATAAACTATTTTTGTTTTTTGTAACTATTTTTATTCACTGTCAAGCTGCAATTCATCAAAGTTACTCTAATTCTACTGATAACAAACAAATCAACTAGATGGCGCTTGTTGAACAGATTTTTATGGATAGTGCGGGCTATTCTTTTATTTTGTTTGTGATTAGCGACATCTACCCATATTAGGAAGCATTAATTTATACATTAGTTTATAACACACAATGCCATCTATTGACACGCAAATTTGTTAAAACCTAAATGACCTAGAATTAATGTTGATTTAAAAATTAAAATAAATAGATACTTATTTTAATTTTTAAATCATGTAATGACTATAAATTCAAATGTTAAATTGCAATGCTCGAACAGGGACCATGTACTGTCAATGTAATAGTTATTCAGATTAATTTTACACAAATTGTAAATGCGCAATAATGAACAAATAAATAAAAAAAGTTCAGAAAACAGTATCAGTAGAGCTCCGCGTGAAAGAGTTCGTCCAGGGAAGTACAGCCACCTTACCTATTGCTGCCGCCAAGCAGTAATGTCAGCATTACTGTTTTCCGGTTTTAAAGGCTAAGGGAGCTGGTAAAATTACAGGCACATGGTACTTGGCAACTTATGTCTCAGGGTGAAGAGCGCAGTGGCAGTGCCCCACAGATCTTTGCGATTTAAAGCTCTGAGTGGCACCTGTTATGAACAGGCGTGTAGCTTATTGTCAGGCGCATGACTTGTTCGTCCTGTCATTTGATGTTACACAAAAAAAATTTAGTTCATGATTATAACAAATTGACTTCTTCTATTTCATATTAAAGATGAATTAATTGAAATCCACTGCCATTTACATAATACAAACTACTTCCAGGCTATCGATCAGCGCCATCTGGATGTATACGGTATTTTGACCATATTCAGAGCTACGATCTGTAGTTTAAAGTTTACCGGTCATCTTGAGTTATTGTTCCATGATTATGCCAAGGATACGAATTTGAATCTGTGTGTCACTTATGACAAGACAGTTTAAAGTGTAAAACCGAACGGTTATTGGATATGCATTCTTATTGTAGTTTAATGTAAGGCTCCAGTTTCATAGCCCGCATGATATCCCCCGTAACAGAACACCTTCCGGCTTGTATGATAACCCTCGGGTCCTCTCGACCCTGAACCATCTGCTTGAAGTAATGTTCTGTCAGGGTGAAGGTTGTGTCTGGGTCGTCTTCTGGTGCACCTTCGTAGACTATTACGTTGTTCAGGTCCAGGGCTGGAAACCAAATGTATTTTGTGAGTAAAATTGTATATAATATAAGAAGCTGTGGTAAAAATATGGCGTTTTTGTAAATAATTGACAAAATATATATACAACCTTAGAATAATAACGCATAGAAACCTAGCTCGCATACGCTAAGTGAGGCAAATTGAAGCGCGCCAAAAGGGCCTACACGAGCGAGCGGGCCTTCAGTGCTCAAGGTCAACTTGCACCGCGAACAGCTCCAGAATTTTAGCTAAAAATGACGAATTGTGCGGTAAATGAGTGTAAAAATACATCAGACAAACATAAAATAGATACTAACATCACATTCCACAAGTAAGTGACGCGTTTTAACTTGTATTTTTATATAAATATTCACTAAAACCGAAAATTAACCTACTACTAAAACTAGCCTACATGAATTCGATTTTTGCCTCACTTGTGACAGTTCGTTTGATATGAAACTATCATTCTATGCGTTATTATTCTAAGTATACAACATAATGGCTTCTGTTTCGATGAACATAGCGTGGCTTTTCGACTATAATTACACTTATTTATCAAATGAGCTTTAAAGTGTTTGGTCCTAGAGTTATACAGTGTTTACGATGAAATATCTGCAGGGATTCAGTTACAAATTTTAATGGCCGTTGCAGAAAGTCCTATGTTTTATCGTCATCGTCCCGCCGCTGATCACGAGTCTTCTCTAAAAAGAAGATTGTGTTAGGTAGTGCTAGACTAGATTTATGTAATAGTTACGCATGTTTGGGGACCAAGGAATTCGTAAATTCCCTGCGCCCATTCAACGAGTTACTACACTCATCCATGCGAAAGCTTAAGCCGTTCTGACAAAGCGTTATGTCAATGCAATAGAAGAAAAAAATTAGAAGCAGTAGAAATCCTCGTGAAAGAGTCCAAGGAAGTATTGCGACCTTATCTATTTCTGCCGCCAAGTAGTAAAGTCAGCATTACTGTAATTCGGTTTTGAAGGGTAAGGGTGCTGGTGAAATTACAGGCACATGGGACTTGTTAACTTCTCAAGGTGACGGGCGCAGTGTTAATGCCCCTCAGATCTTTGCGATTTAAAATTCTGAGTGGCACTACAACTGTGGACAGGCGTGTAGCTGATATGGCAGCAGGTATGGCTGGTTCGAGTGCTACCAGATCTAAGACGTTTTTCGTTGTGTTCTATCTTTGTATCAATGTTTATCGTAATATTCAGTATTATTTTATTACGTTCTTTTTTAACTTACTCCAGGAATAGACGGTCGTGCCTTTTATAATGTTAAATAGGTAGACTCCTCCGAGCTCCTTTGCCTTGGCCGGGTCCACAGATTCCAAGCGCGTCTTAATTCGCGCCACGAGGTCCGCTTTGCCCAGGTTCAATGTGTCGCTTTGGGATGCACCCTGGAAGACGGTAAGACAACACAAATTTAGTTTCCTCTAGTTATGCGACAACACTGATGAAACTAAACCGTAGAAGTCTGTGTCTGTGAAAGGTCCTCGACTACTCTATTGGGTCAGTTTTTATGTAATAGGTAAGCAAATTACAATAGAAATTGTTACATCGATAGCTGCCTCTGTGGCCGAACGGTTACCATGTTAGACTGCCATGCAGAGGTCCCGGGTTCGATTCCCGGGCTGGGAGAAATACTTGTAGCCTAGCGGGGCTATGAGTGTGTGTGTGTGTGCGTGCGTGCGTGCGTGCGTGCGTGCGTGCGTGCGTGTGTGTGTGTGTTCGCGTTATAAATTGATTAATTTTTACTACTCGTTCATATGGCATAATTCCCCTGATAAGAATGTGTAAGAAACTCTCGGGGTCTTTGTAAATATCACAATTGTATAAATTTATCATTCAAATGTGACAAAAATTGATAATTGATTGTTAATAGACAATCAGTAAGAGCTAAATGGGTCACTGCCATGGGTTTTTGTCATCCAAGAACGCAGAAAATGTATAATCACTCGCGATTATTACACATAGGTAATGAAACTTTAAAAATGTTTCATTTAAATTTAATATAGGTACATGATAAAATGCGACTGTCGTTATGAAAATGCGTTTAAAATGATTTGGATACTAATAGAACAACTGTCAAAATAAGAATAAAGAATACAATAACGCAATTATAGTAATCATTAGAAAATCTTAACATTCACAATTCAGACATTTTTGGTAAAACTTTACGAACTTTCACAATCTATCGATAAAATTGTCGACAACATCTACATGACTATTTAAAATTTTACAAAAACTGGCATCCCTACAAATGTCATTTTATTCCATCTTAAAATCCAAATACACCCTGAAGGTCGCGCGGTTGGAGTCTCACCACAATATGAATTTTAACTCGTTTGTGGCAAGGTGCCGATCGTACATCTGTCGACCTTCATGGAGGAGAAGTTTTGACCGAAGGGTGTCATATTATATCGGCGATTCCGAGGCAGGTTACCTTACACCAGATTGCATCACACCTTTGCCGAAAAGCTCGTTATAAATTAAATTTAAAAAACTCACGATTTCTCAAAACTCAGATATGACCGGATTCGAACCCATGGCCTTTGCTTGTGAGGTCATTAGGCTACCACGACGCTACCAAGAGTTTACATAGACCGAGCACTATTTTAAATGTGACTTTAAGTCATTACTATTAGGAATAAATTTACATAATGAACATAATTTTTGCGCTAGTCAGAGAGAGAAACTTCGCATTATTAAATACCTTTTATATTGCAATAAATTAGACGATTTGGATCTCTAAATTATTGTGTCTTGGTTATTTTGCTTTGTCTATAGAATACCGTCAAAAAAAAAACAGGATTAAAAATGGAATTTTCGCTTTTTGCATACTCACTTCTCTAAGGGACAAATCGACTCCTACCTAAAGTATCGTATGTCGAAATTGTCAAGTTTACAGGGGAACGTTAAGTTTTGAATTCACTGAGATGAATATAACACGTGACTTTAGCATAGAAATGCTAAATTAAATTGTAAAATGATAAAATAAATTATGGTTGTTCATCAAATATCTATGATTTTATAATACTCTGTGTGAGTTGAGCTGAGAAATAAAATCACGTGTTACGCTCATTTCAGTGAATTCAAAACTTTAAAACGCTCTCCTGTAAACTTGGCAATTTCGACATACGATACTTTACGTAGGAGGGGTCGAAATAATAAAAAGAAAATAATAAGAACAGTAACATACCATAATGCCGTGTGTCCAGTACCGTTGCAGAGGCTGTATTGACATTTTGATGATACGTCATCGTCATTCGAGCTTTCACTCTCCGTTGCAACACTTACTTAGTACCATGAGGTCGCCATAATTTGTGAGTTGTTGAGATTGTCCAAGACTTCTATTCTTTTTTTAAACTTCCAAAAATCGAGCAAATTACAATGGGCAAAGCGCTTAAACGCCATGTAGCCGCCAGACTTAAGCAGAAGAAGTATAGGATCTCGATGAACTCGTTAAATCAAAGACGTTTTCTGTAATATATTGGCAATAAGTAACTAGTTTACAGAAGTCGTGTCATTAATCTTTAAAAGCTGTGGTGGTTTCTTTAGAACAAATTAAAAGTGAACCATCTTTTTGACCTTTGTTAGTTTGTACAAAACATGAAAAAAAACCGCACACACTCATAGCCCAGGACTAGGGAAACCCTGTATCGCGGTTTTTTTTATAATACCAAGTGACCGGATGAACAAGGTCATGGGCCTGGTGGTAAGTTACAGACAGGGGTATGTGTATCTTCTTCTATATACATTACGATGTTTTTTTCCTCACTATTGGCGAAAGATATTGCTAAACATTTACAAATCATCATTACCATCGTCATTTCAGTCGAAAGACGTCCATGTTGGATGTAGGTCACCCCAAAGATCGCCACAACGACCGGTCTTTTGCTGCTTGCATAGCATGATAATTTGATTTATTGTTTTAAAAATAAAACCCATGCTTATGATAGCTACGAATGTTTAATAATAAAAAAATTAAAAAGGACAAAAAATGTTTTATGATCAAAAATTTAAAAAAAGAACTAATCTTGTGTAGTCTGAGGTGGGCTGGTTTTATATGTTTTTCGCTTTCGCGCCATTTTTTATATTTATTGTTAAGTATTTTGAGGACAACGGGACACGAAATTTAAAAAGGGACTGTCTCGCTCAGAGCGGGACTTATGGTCACGTTATGCTTGCATCCATCGGATTCCCACCTTGTGGTCTGTCCACGCTGCGTTTACAGTACAGTTGTAGACATCAGATATAACATAATTCTAAAACATTTTTAAATGGCACCATAAGACTAATACCCAATTACACTATATACAGCATTCCATAACAAAATACTTAACTATTACAAAGAGCGGAAATGTATATAAAAAACGTAAAAAAATCTAAGGGAATATTAAATTAAGCTAAATGGGATTTAACATTAAAGACAAATTGTACTATTTAAAAAAATATGTAAACCAGTATTTCTACTTCTTACTACGTGTGGCTAAGTAATTTTGATTTAAAAGTTACAATATTACAATTAAACATGTCACTTGCATCACAGATTTCATAACTATACTGACACATTCTTATAACTGGGCTATTTACTGCAACATTACATTATTAGTATTATGTATTCATTTTAATAAATAATAATGGAATACACTACCGATATCTATGTTCCTCTAATGCTATTTAACACTAGAGGGCATTTTTAGACGCGTACTATTGTCAGTCACACGTGTTTACGGTTTAATGTGCATCTATTTTACAAAAAAGAACATATCGTCTTTTGTATCAAAAAACTATGGTTACCCTTTCCGTGTACATAGTACTGTTAACTCAGAGATTGTTATTTTCACTTTTTACCAGCATTACTTTGCCAGCGGACGGGTAGTGCCTTTGTGTGAAGCCTATGTTGCGTAACAAACTTTTGGCCTTTTATGAGTTATTATACAACGGATCTTAAAGGCAGCGCATTAGTGTTATGAGTGCAAAAGTCGTTATGGTCAAACCTTTGTCTGCAAATGAAAAGAAGATAAAGATTTGTATTTACATGTCTTTTTCTTTCGAAGAAATGTTCCAACATTTCTTTCTATAACAAGACATTTGTAGATACTTAATTCTTTCTTTTCCTTCAATGTCTGTCAGGGACGATTCTATAAAACAGCAGCAGCTTCAGGGTCACAGACGCAGTGGCAGTGCCACGCAGATATTTGCGATTTAAAAGAAAGAAAGAAAGAAAGAAATAAACATTTATTCGGCTATCAGGCAAAAATAAAACAAACAAAGAATTTAAATTAAAATTGTAATAAAAATAAATAAAATAAAATACAAAACACATAACAGTAGCCTAAACAGGCTATCCTGCTCAGCTTAATGCTGGGCAGATTCACAACGCTGATTTTCAGCAGGAGCCTGAGATTTAAAGCTCTGGTTGGTTCTGCAACATGACATAAAAAAGCAGAATTTTCCTCGTTGACATATCTCTATGTATGCAAGACCTAGAAACGTTATATGACAGAAATAGGGTGGCATTGTCCAACAGGTCTAGCCGTTATGGATCTGTAATTGATGGATTTTTATATTTAAAGATAATAAAGTGACGTGCAGTGGGTTGCCACATTGTGAAGTACCTAATATTTTAGAAATAGTGTTGCCTTGAAAGATAGGCTCCATTGACGCACTCGGTAGGTCGTCACTGTAAATTATGTCAAAGATATAATGTGTTAGGATAAAAACATTATTTTCTTTATTTATATGTAGATGTATTGTCCGTATTATATATTTCTTTTCATATATTTGTATATTATTTATGTTTATACGTTACATATTTTCCGTGTCTATAATACTTATGTCAGTAGCGGTTTTTTTTTCATTTAAGGTTATAATATTTCTCCATCTATCATCATTTAGAATTATTCTCTTTTGAACGCCGCCGCCCCTTGCTCACTTATGACCTTTGTTTTCACTGTCTTGGGTTGATTGGAAGGGATGTATTTTAGAGATAGGTCCAATTTACTCACCTATTGTAAGTATAATTAATATTTGTATTTCTTTGTGCAATAAAGAGAATAATACTATATATATATTGCGTTGAATGGACAGTAATATATGCATTACTATACATATAGTATACATTAGTTTTAGGAAACGTCGGAAAATGCAACTGCATTCTCTCTTGGATATTTATTAGTTAATCTCTCACTATGACACAATATGGGATGATAAGTGATGGACCTATTACTGCGAAGAAGACACCATATGTAGCCATCTGGTGTCTACTTCGCAATAAAAAATATTTGCTAGCGCAAATAATAGCAATACAATGCTAATAACTATATACTCATGTCTCTCCCACATAAAGACGTAGGTACCTATATCTTACTAACTTTTTTCATTCAAACTAAATTCTTATAGTACTTATATATTTTGAAAACCAGAAATAAGTATAGTCAGGTCCCGTGGTCACGGTTGAGTCAGTCAACCGTGTCCATGGGACTTGTAAAGGGCCCGAAACGTTGGTTTGATTGAAAAAACAAATATACGCGATTTAAATCCAGAAAAATAGTTTCATTTCCTATGTGTAACAATCGCGAAACCTAAGAACTCGATAAGAAATAAGTAGTGTATTTTTAATATTAGAGTCGATACAACTTCAAATGGCTTTGTTGATTCCGCACAACAATGATAATGTGGAATAAATCACTTTGGAAAAAATATATAGGTAGTAAAATATATAGGAAAACACGATTTATAAAAATTTTCACGATAGATAAAACACAAACCTAAGGGAGCGTGGGGGAATGGGGACCTACTAAGGAAAATTGACAATAAAAGTCATAGTTTATGCAATTTTAATTTTTATTAGTTATGAACATACGCTTCACATATCTGGGTACTAGATAATCACAGAAAAAATATAAAACTAAATTAAAACATTTGGTAAAAAAAGAAAAAACTAAAACATGTCATTCGCTCTCATTACCCCACAGTTCGGGAAATGGGGGCCGATAAGAATCCCGTATGTCAAATGGGAGCCACTATACATAATCAGTCTGAAAAAAAAATTAAAGCAATAAAATATATAAGTTAAAAAGTAATGAAAATAAACAAGAAAGTGTTAAAGGGATATCCAGTGAATATTGCAATGGGATAAGGAGAGCCAAATAGCTCTCATTACCCGCGTAACATCGAATTGAGAAAGGAATAAAACAGTAAAACATTTCTATTTTTATTGTGATTTCAACATTGACTTACAATTATATGGACGTCGGGTCCGCGCTAAAAAGTGTCCGAACTTATAGGGCATTAAAATCGTATACAGAACGTCATTCACGCTTTAGTCTTCGTTTGTTCGACTGACAGCGAAGCAAGCAAAATTAGACAGTACTGCGATGACATTACAATTTAAATTCAACGTTTTAGCTTTTTCATATTCCTTTACTTGTCACTACGTTTAAATAGGTTGACTTGGGACATTTTTTTTCGTGGTTTTTGTATTAGACCCGTCGTCCATTTATTTGTAAGTCAATGGATTTCAAGCATAACTTCTAAAGTTTGATAGATATGGTGACATAGCTAGTGTAAATACAATGTAGTATCTATGCATTTTAATGTTTACCTGTGATGATGAAATTTAGCAATTGTTATAAGCGCGGAGCGAAAAACACACAACCATCTCATATGACTAAACGCGGGGTTCTACGGGGGTGCCCACGGGACTCGAACCTTGTTGAACGTTAACGAAGACATAGGAGTACCGTTTGCACAAATACGAGCATTAGAAAAGTCCAGTTTAACACCGCTCTTATTACCCGCGGGCTCACCCAATACTCCACGTTCCCCTACCTCTAAATTTTACAAGAAAACCGCTGTGTTCAATAGGTACCTTATATACCAATGATTTTTATTTTATATCAACTGAAGTAAATAGATCACGTATAGTATCTTCTTCTCCTTGTGAATGAGTTCGTCCAGGTATTGTCACCTTATCTATTTCTGCCTCTAAGCAGTAATGTCAGCATTACTGTGTCCCGGTTTTGAACGGTAAGGGTGCTGGTGAAATTACAGGCACATGGGACTTGTCAACTTATGTCGCCGGGTGACGGGCGCATTGGCAGTGCGCCTCAGATCTTGGCGATTTAAAAAGCTGAGTGGCACTGCAACTGTTATGGACAGGCGTGTAGCTTGTTCGCTCCGTCACTTGATATTATAAAAAAAATACTGTACGATTCGTAAGATT